CAATGCTATAGGACAGAGCCGAACTGCTCCCAAGGATTTCCAAGACTGTGAATCTTGGCAATTTGATGAACAGACAGCCTCACCTTTCTCTTGTGATTAGTGAGTGGGTTTGAACTGCTGGCCTTGGGGTTAGCAGCCCAACGCCTCCACAAGATCAGAATGAATCACTATTAATTAAATCAAATCCAGTACTATATAAAGAGGATAATAAATTATGACCATGAGGGGTTTATACCAGGAAAGCAAGGTGGTTTCAATATCTTCAAATCAATCAATATTGTTTACAATGATAACAGAATTAAGGAGGAAAATCAAATGATCATCTCAATATAAGTAGAAAACATATTTGCCCAAATTCAACACCCATCGATGATACGGTTTCTCAGCAAACAAGGGATGGAAGAAAACTCTCTCAATCGGACAAAGGACTCTAAGAAAAATCTACACTTACCACAGGTGATAGTGAAATAATGAATACTTTTACCCTAAGCTTGGAAACAAGGTATACCCTATCTCTTTTGGGGGGGGGGGTTGGAGGGGTCCAACACTGTATTGGAGTTTCTAGCCAATGCATTGAGGCAAGAAAAAGAAACAAAAAAAGTAAGACGAGGAAAGAAGACGTGAAAGTCAGCAATAGACATACATGAACTACTGATACATGCAACAACATGAAAGTACCAGAAGAACATGCCAAGAGAAGGAAGTCAGACATACAAGTACATTCTGTATGTTTCTATTTATAGGAATTCTAGCTCAGGTAAAACTAATTTGTAATGACAAAGCAGATCAGCAGTTACCTAGGAATAGGGAATATTTGAAGAGTCGGGGAAATGTACGAGGGGCTTCAAAAAGTTTGTGAAAAATTGGAATTCAAAGATAATGGAATTTGTCATGAGTTTTTTTTTTAATCCCACTGGATTAGGGTGATGGTTATGAGAATATATGCATTTCGAAAATGTGTATTAAATGGACGCCTTTTATTGTATGTAAATTCTACCTTAGTGAAATTGACTTCAAGGGAGAAGAGCATGAGCAGAATGTGGGACCTTAACCAGAGAAGCAACGACACCAGAGATAGAGGTAGAGATGAGAACATGGAGAGAGGGAGCAGCTGAGGACTCTAGACTCATGGAAAGAGAAAGGCTGTGTGCTGACAGCCAGGAGGCAGGCTTGCAGAATGTGCCCTTTGGTTGTTTAAATGATTATATATTTCTGAGTGTTTTGGTGTACATCCCCCCCCCCGCCTCAAAAAAAAAAAAAAAAGAAAAAAACAGAGGGACTAGAAGCAAATACTACGACTGATGATGTATGGAGGGGATTGTAATCATTGCAATGAAACAGTGGGTGAAAAACCAATGTTCTCCCATGTAAACTATCACTCAATTCACAATAAAAACTTTAAATAATAATAATAAAAAGAAGATGAAAAGGTAAGTCGCACACTAGGAGAGGATATTACCAATACATATATCTGACAGAGGAATAATGTCCAGAATATTATGGGAAACTCCTATAACTCAAAAATAAAAATTAAAAAGTACTTTAAATGGACAAAAGACTTAAACACTTCATGAAATATGATACACAAATGGCCAATCAGCACATAAAACTGTGTTCAAAATCATTCATCATCAGGAAAATGCAAAAAGAAACAATGATATGAAGCTACAATCTATCAGAATGGCTAAAATTAAAAAGATGGACAAAACCCAAATATGACAAGAGTGTGGAGCAACTAGAATGCTTATATATTACTGGTTGTTATTGTTAAGTACTGTGGAGCCTGCTCCTATAAGTGACCCTGTATAGGATTTATGAGGAGGTACTGGTGGATTTGAACCGCTGACTTTATAGCTAGCAGCCCAGTGATAATAATTTCTTATAAAGTTAAACCTAGTCTTGTTGTTGTTGTTAAGTGCTGTTGAGTTGATCCCGACCCATAGCAACCCTGTATAGGATTTCCAAGGAGCAGCTGGTGAGCTTGAACCACCAACCTTGCAGTTCAAATGACTTTGCAGTCTGACACATTACCCCATAGCGCCATACCAGGAGTCCATCTTATGAACCAGTTATTCCACTCCTAGCTATTTACCTCAGAGAAATTAAAATAGGGGTCCACAAAAAGACATATACATATATGCCTATAGGGACTTTTCATCATTACCCAAAACTGGGAAGCAACCCAAATGGGCACCATCAGATGGCTGGATAAACCAATGGCAGTGTGCTCATACACTGCAAAGCTATTTGTCAAACAAAGGGCATAAACTGAATGTTCTCAACGACACAAATGAGCCTCTAGCGCATGATGTTGAATAGAAGAAGCCAGACACAAAAGAGAACATAGTGGATGCTCTTGTTTATATCAAGTCTGAGAACCAACAAAGTCAAGCAAGGGTGACAGGAGTCACACCTGTGATTGCCTGAGCAGGTGGAAGGCGGGCTGGAGAGAGTCAGGAAGGAGCTTTCTAGGGGGATAATAATGCTCTGTATCTTGACTGATGTGAGCGTTACACATTTGAATGCTTTTGTCAGAACCCCTTGCACTGTACACTTCAAATGTGTGTGTTTTATTTTATGAAAATTATTCTTTAATTTAAAAAAAAGATAGGGATAAAGGTTCTAGTTTGGGACTTTGAACACAGTAAGTGTAACAACCATCAGTTCCCCCTCCTGTACCCTCTCCATCCCCATGAGGCAAGTCCCATAGTATTGTTGTTGTTAAGTGCCATTGACACAGATCCAACCCATAGCGACTCCTAGTTTCCGAGGAGCAGCTAGTGAGTTTGAACCGCTGACCTTGCAGTTCAAACTGACCTTGCAATCCAGGGCATTAGCCCGCAGTGCCACACCAGGACTCCACCATAAAAGAACATTTGGTGGACAGAGTGTCGTTTTCCCCAACCAAGAGATATCCGTAACATGACATCCTGAGAACTGTTTCAATCAGAACTAAAGATCATGGACAAAACTGACTATGCCTAATGTCATCTCACTCTGAGAGCTTTGCTCTCTGAGCCCATTGCTGAGTCTTGTCTTCCAAGTCTATGTCTGAGGTCCGTATGTCCCAAGTACAGCGTGGTAAGTCATTCAAGAGGTGTGAGCTGACAAGGTGTGACAAAGGAAAGACACATAGCATGACAAAGAAGCTCTGAGGAGATCAGCATTTATGGAGATGGAGTTGGATGTTCAAATCTATCCAGAGGTACCTCCAAAGAGAGGCCTAGTGATCTACTTCAGAAAAATCAGCCTTTGAAAACACTATGGCCCATAGTTCCACCCTGACACACATGGGCTTGCTGAGTTTTTACAAAAGATGAGGCAGTATATTCATTTATGAGGGCTATCATAACAAAGTGCCACAAGCTGAATGACTGAAAATGCCTGAAATGCATTCTCTCCCAGTTCTGGAGGCTACACGTCTGAAATCAAGCTGCCAGCAAGGTGCGTTTCTTGAGGAGAATCTGTCCCATGCCTCTCTCTTGGCTTTAGGTGATCTCTGACCACCCATGATCCTCTTTGACCTACATAGTCACATGTCGTTCTCCTTGTCTCTGTGTCCAAATTTCCCTCTTCTTATAAGGGCGCCATCAGACTGGATATAGGTCCCACCCTAATCCACAGTGACCTCATCTTAGCTTGATTGCATCTGCAAAGACCTTCTATCTAAACAGGGTTCCACTCACCAGTTCCAGGTGGGCATGAATTCTGCATGCGCATATTCACCTCCAGTAAGTACAGGCAAGAAAGCTAGCCCTGGAGCCAGGCAGCAAGCCAGGCGATGGAGTTGCATTCTCAGGTAGAAACGTCAATCATTGCTTGTCGACTGAATGAATGAATGAGGCACTGAGTCTGTTGGGGCAGAACAAGCAGCATTCCCCAGGGCTGACCACCACCCCTCCTTCCTGTCTTGCAGCTCACATATCTGCCCCCACCATGGGGCGAGTGCCGGTCCTCAGAGATGGGGCTGGACTTCTTTCCTGTTTACAGCATCACCGCCTGTCGGATTGACTGTGAGACCCGCTACATCGTGGAGAACTGCAACTGCCGAATGGTTCACATGCCAGGTCAGTGCCAGGGGAGCAGAACTCTGCCTGAGATAACTGGACCTTTCATTGCATTTCTTGAATTAAAAAAAAAAGCCATTGATTCCAATTCATTGTGACACGCCCCCCGTGTTAGAGTAGAACGGCTCCGTAGAGTTTTCTTGGCTATATTCTTAGGGACACATATTGTGAGCTTTTCTTCTAGGCCCCCACCACTGTTGGTGTTGTTGCTAACTGCCATCAAATCAGTTCTGACTCATAGCAACCCTATATAGTGTTTCTAAAGAGCAGCTGGTCAGTTTGAACTACTAACCTTTGGGCTGGTGGTTGGTTGGTAGTCGTGTGCTGTCTACTTTGTTCCAACTCATGGCCATCCTGTGTAAGGTTTCTGAGGCTGTAACTATTTACAGAGCAGAAAGTCTCATCTTTCTCCCACGGAATGCCAGTAGACTCGAACCGCTGACCTTGTGGTTAACAGTCCAAATCGTAATTCCCTACGCTACCAAGACTCCTTTCTGCTACCCACAGAGCTTTTGCATTTCTCAGCCTAACAGGAAGCACTTCTCTTACTTCACTAGACCCCAAAGAGCTATTGTTCTGGGAAGACCATTATTTGGTGCTTAAATATTTAGGAGTCCCTGGTGAATTAACACCCTTGTCTGCTCACCAGAAGGATTATGGTTAGAGTCTACCTAGATGTACCTTGGAAGAAAGGTCTGGCAATCTACTCCCCCAAATCAGCCATTGAAAACCTGGTGGAGCACACAGTTCTACTCTGACACTCATGGGGGTGCTATGAGTCACTGTGAGCTACACAGCAATTGGTTTTTTAAAAAAAATAGGGCAGATAGAAGCATCCAGATCAGCAAGCAAGGTAGCATCCTGGAGTCCAGGAGCATCCGTGTGCTTGGAAACTGTTCCACATGTTTGCTGTGCTACCTCCTGATGTTTGTGTCCAGATATCTGGATGTTTGCAATTCTTGAAGCCTTGTGTGGTGCATGCTTCCACATCCAGATGTTCGCTGCTTTTATTCAGATGTTTGCTGTTCTGTGCATCCAAATGTCTAATACTCTTTCAGATGAGGCAAAAGTTTATCATCAGTCAGCAAATAAATGTGCCTGGGCACACAGTTCTGTTGTTAAACTAATCATATATGGAGTCAGCATGTCAGAAGCAGAAGTGAAGAGCGGGGAGCTACTCAGGGTAGGAGGCGTTTCCTGCGGCAGCGTAGGAAGGTGAGTGAGATGAAAGGCAAAGGCCTTAGTTTCGAATTCAGGTTCCTCCACTCACTTACTATGTGACCTGGAACAAGTCACTAAACCTCTCTGTTCTCAGCTTCACTAACATTAATTTTTATGAGGATAAAATTCAGTTAAGATATAAAAATGCTCTGTAAATTGCTAAAGTCCAAAGTTGTATTAGCATATTTGGAAAGGTTACCAAAAATCATGTTGATTGAAGACCTATTATGTGCCCCCAAACTTTGCTATCATATGTAATGATTGCTAATATATTTCATGGTTATATCACAGTTTATTTAAGTGTATTAACTAGATCCTCATATTTGGCGTTTAGTTCATTACCAACGCTTTTGCTATTATAATCAATGCTGTAATTAACATCCTTATAACTAAATTCCATTTGTAGCCAGTGATTAGTAATCTAAAATTAGTGGTCCTGGTCTTTAAAATGGCCTCTGAGCTTTCCTGGAAGACAGAGGAAGGAGGGAAACATGTCAGTTTGTTATTATTATTAGAAAGGAGGAAACATACCAATTCTTCAGCTCTGTAAAAGCTTTTGGGGGGAATGGGTAGGAAATAACGCTGTGGTGGACTTTAATTTTAGCAATCAAAAACAGAGAAAAAAGATCCTAAATATCTACAAAGACAGCCCAGCAGTAGGATGTTACTCAGTTGGTACCCATCGAAGCCCAAGACGAACAGTCATTGTCCCTAAGGCACTGTTACTGGCATCTTAGCTACAAATGTAGAATTGTGGGTAAAACAATAAGGATACTTACAAAACAATCCTCATTCACCTACAGTAGAGGGATGTGCTGATGGAAATCAGATGGATGGGTCTAACCCCACCTCCATCACCTACTCGCTCTGCTGTCTGGACATGACAAAGTGTTCAAGACTCAAGTCACTTCCGAGTGAAACTGGGACACTATTTCCTACCCCAGAAGGTTAAAGGAGATGATACATACCCAGTAGGTCACCTCAAAGTTTGATTTGCCAAGACAGTCTCATCTATGTGAACTCAATGGATCCTAGTCACCTAGCAGATGTTAGCCAGGCAGGGCCTGTCAACCACAGAGCAAGCAAAGGGCAGGAGTGGATCAGAACCTAACCTTCTGACCCTAGGTCTAGTGTTCTCCTGTCATCCCCTGCCACCTGAACAATTCTGGTCAATGGCTCCCTTCTGATATGTCCACTAGCCCTCCCAAGTAATGGGATGCACCCCCTTCCTCAAGCCCAAGGAAGGTAACTGTTGCTGGCACACACAACAACTGTGCTTAGGTAACTTTCCCTTGTGCTTTTTCTTTGCAGGGGACGCCCCTTTTTGTACCCCTGAGCAGCACAAGGAATGTGCAGAGCCGGCCCTGGGTGAGTCCCAGCATGGAATCAAGGTGGAATGCTGGGGTGTGGCTGTCTGAGAGAGAGATGGTTGAGAGCATCTGGGTGTGGGGAAAGAGATCAGATGCTGAGAGGGGGTGAGGGGAAGGAGGTTCTGCAGGGAGATGGAGTGGAGGGAGGGAGGAAGGACGGATGTGGGCTGGTCAAGGGGGTCACAGGAGAGAATGGAGGTGGAGTTCAGGGGGAACAGAGTGTACTAAGGGACAGAGGGAGGTGGACAGAGAGAGAGAAGATGGACAGTGGGGAGTGGGGTGGCACCAGAGGGAGCTGGATGATACCTTCCTGCCTACGGAGAGGCCCTGCCTTTCCCGTGCTGTCCAGGGAGCCCAGGGAGATAGAAGCCTGTCTGTGCTCTCCTCTCCCCAGGTCTGCCTGCTGAGGGGTTGGGGGTTGGAATAATTCCATGTGGTCCCATCCCAAGGAAACTGTGGGGATGGGAGACCTCAAGAAAGAGCTGCTATCGCACATCCGCACCTCTCTCAGGACTAGGGAAATGGTCGATAAACAAGATAAGCAGGGAACATTTTAAAACAACATGGACTCACATTTAGCAGCCCTGAACTCCTGTCCTGATGCCGTCTAGAGACTGGAAAAGGGAGGGGCTGGCCCAGAAGAGGGGGTATCTTCTGATGTTGGCAAAGAGCCGGTTTCTCTTTGAAGTAAAGATTCAGTAAGACCCAGGGGAAGCCAGAAATGCTGAGATGGTTAGTAGAAAGAAGGGGGAGGAGGAAAATGATGTTTTTTAACTGCTCATCCTAATTAGAAGAAATGAGAGAGAAAGAGATTCCAGATGGGGACGGTGTCCCCACGGAAAAGCATTGGGCATCTTAGCCCACATCCTAACTGAAAAGGCAGTGTAGGTGGGCACTGCCTGGAAAGGATCCTCAGACGGAATGCCAGGGAGCTCTGGACTTCAGGCAAATGGTTTCACAAATTGTTTGCCCTAGAGTGGCCCACTTTGTGGATGAGAACACTGAGGCAAGGACCCGAGAAGGCAGCGGAAAGGCTCGTATGGAGCCCATTGTCTCAAAGTGGTGCCTTTTCAACAGTCTTTAAGGGGTTGTTTTTGTTGTTATGTGCCGTGGGGTCAGTTCCAACTCATAGCAACTCTGTACTGGGTTTCAGAGGTTGTAAATCTTTACGGGAGCAGAAAGTCTCATCTTTCTCCCGCCGAACAGCTGGTAGTTTCAAACTGCTGACCCTGAGCTTTAAGGGGTGGAAGACCCAAAGTAAGATAGAAAGAGTGGGCACTATTTTATGAGCCACATCCTCATCTGCCATCAAAAACCCAGCTCTCCACCTCTCCTAGATCTCCCAGACCTCAGGGATCCTGGACTAGCAACTCCCCCCAGCTCTTCTGGCCACAAGTCCCAGGTTCCACACCTGACCGACCCCTGCCTCCCTCTCCACTCCAGGTCTGCTAGCGGAAAAGGACAGTAATTACTGTCTCTGCAGGACCCCCTGCAACCTGACCCGCTACAACAAAGAGCTCTCCATGGTGAAGATCCCCAGCAAGACGTCAGCCAAGTATCTTGAGAAGAAATTCAACAAATCTGAAAAATATATCTCGTAAGTGGACATGGTGGGCAGGGGAGGCTGGGGGGAGGTGGGGATGAATTAGAGACCCACAGAATATGGCTGAGAGAAGTGGGGTGCGTGTGTACAATGAGCATGGCAATCGAAGAGGGAGGAGGTAAGCAGTTCATTCCATTTGTTGTTGTTGTTGTTTTGGGCTGCTATCCACTTGTCCCCTGACTCCTGGGGACTCTGCACAAAGATACGAAATGCTACCTGATCCTGATCAGCTGTGTGTCTGAACATTGGGATTCATGGGTTCTCACTTGCTGATTTTCAGACGTGAATCACTAGGCCTTTCTTCCTGGTCCATCTTTGTCTAGAAGCTCCACTGAAGCTGGTTCAGCATCTCAGAGCTGACAGATGAGTGGTGGCGGCACATGAGGCTCGCTGGGAGGAGACTGGACTTGGGTCTACCGCATGGAGGGGGACATGGCAACACCAATGCTCTCTTAGTTCGATTTAGCAGGCAGTCATGGAGCTCTCTGGTAGCGTAGTGATTATGAATCGGGCTGCTAACCTCAAGGTTGGCAGTTTGAAACTACCAGCGGTTCCACGGGAGAAAGATGAGGCTTTCTGCTCCCGTAAAGATTTACAGCCTCGGAAACCCTGTACAGGGTCACTATGAGTTGGAACCGACTCCACAGTACTTAACAACAACAACAACATGGAGCTCGCGCTCAGAATACAAAGACAAATGACTAAGCCATAGCTTACAGTCTTGCAGGGAGACAAGTATGCAACTGAATACTTATTGGCTAATACAAGTGATAGAAAAGTGTACATACAGTAAGAGAAAACAATAAGTGGGCTGGAGTTCACATGGGATGAGGTCAAGAAAAGTTTCAGGTATTTGCTTCAAATATTATTAAGTTTTTCCAAGCAAACCTTGCTTTTCCTCTGTCTAGAATGTTTCAACTGTCCACTCTTCCTCTCAGGAGTTAACTTAGGTCCCCTCCTGGTACTTTTTCTCAAAGTCCTCGGGAGTTTTCCTTTATAACACTAACCACAGTGTGTGCTTATACATTCATGCATATAATGACTTGTGCATTCTGTGCTAGATTGAAAGCTCCCTGAAGGCAGAAACATGTGTGTGCATGTGTTTGTGTGTGGTGTCTGCTGTCTACCAAAGTGTTAACAGAGTGCCTGACACAAAGCTGGAGCTCAAAAAAAAACTCTTCTGGAAGAATTAAATTAATGAGCGAAGGGAGAAGAGAATGTCCCAGACAGGAGATGAGCAGAGTGAACCAGAACAGGGCAGGCAAAAGAATTACAAAGGGGGTGCTGGGTGAAGTTGATGTAATTATGAGTAAGGGTGGTCTTAAAGACCAGGAAGCTGCTAAAGAGTTTAAACAAGGGACAGGCTCAAAGTTACTTCTGAGGCCAGCACTCTCCAATAAGAAATGTCCACATGATGAAGATGTTCTAAATCTGAACAATCCAATATGGTACCCATTGGTGGCTCAGTGGTAGAGTCTTGCCTTGCATGCAAGCCATCTGGGTTGTTTGATTCCCAGCCAGTGCTCCTCAAGCCCAGCTATCCATCCTTCAGGGAAGGCTGTGTGTCGCTATGGTGCTGAACAGAATTCAGCAGACCTTCCACACTAAGATGAACTAGAAATAAAGACCTACTGATAGACTTCTGAAAATCACTTAATGAAAACCCCATGGTTTCTAACGGTCCAATCCGCAAGGGGCCATGGGATGGGAATGGCTCAGGAATGGACAATGTTTCTTTCTGTCTTGTGTGGAAATGCCGTGATCTGGGGGCTGACTTTACAGCAGTTAACAACAAAGCCACCTGTGGCTAGTGAGCATTTAAACTGTAGCTAATGTGACCGAGAAGCTGACTTCTGAGTGTATTTCATTGGAATGCATGCAGCGGTTTTAAGGAGATCCTTCAGGCTGCAGCATAGAGGATGCTTGGGAAGCAGAATGGGAGGAGGGGACCCTGCTAGGGGGCAGCTGCCTTAAGCCAGGCAGGAGATGGTAGGAAGTTTAATGAGAGGGTCCTGTGTGGGGAAAGGGGGATTTGATCCCCTTCCCCAGCTAACACACTCTCCAAACTCCATCCTGGACAGCTGGTTAAGAATAAGGGGCGCTAAGGGTGATGTGAGGAGTGTGAAAGAAGACAGGGAATTGCAGGAGATGCCGGGTCTGCTGCATAGCAGGCCTTCTGCAGCTAGTTAGGACTTTACTGCCAGGACGTGTCTCATTAACACACCTGCCCAAGAGGCAAAACCAGATGCTTCTGCCAGAAACCCACCAGCAGAGGTGGGCTTGCTCCCTCCAAACCCTCTCTGACTCGGACAACTGGCCAGGGAACGGCCTCCTTCTAGGAGAAGCTGGTAAATCCCAGTTGGCAAAGGGCTTTCAGGAGTGGGCAGGGGCAGTGTGGAAGGTCAGCTAGAACAGGCACACTGGTCAAAGTAGTCCTTGTCAGGAGATTACTGAGCCCACCTTCATGCCCAGACAGACCCTTTGGGGCCCAAAGACTTGAAATCCAGGTGGGATTCCTGGGAAGGGTGAGAAGAGAGAGGCTAGAAATAAAGGCAAAGGGGGCCATTATCTTTCCTTCTATTTTCCCACAAACTTTCGGAAGCTCTCCCATACGTATCTGCAGTCCTAGAAGGAGCCCTGGGCTGGAGTCAGAATTCTTGGCTTCAATCCCCAGCTCTCCACGAACAAGCTCTCACTTTGGTCTGGTTGTTTTACTTCCCTGGGCCTCATTTTCTCCATCTGTCCCCGAGAACGCTGTGTTAGGCGGTCTGTATAGATCCTGAAGGTTCTAACCATTTATGGTACTGAATATTCCCTGCAGAGAGAACGTCCTTGTTCTGGATATATTTTTTGAAGCTCTCAATTATGAGACAATTGAACAGAAGAAGGCGTATGAAGTTGCTGCCTTACTTGGTAAGTCGGGGTGTCTATGGCAAACATTTCCACATCTCATGGGGGGTAGGAGGGAGGGAAGGTAGGTAGGTGGGCGGGTAGGCAGGCAGGCAGGCAGATAGCTATCTGAACCTCCTAGTGAATCTAGCCTTTTAATTTCCTAATTACTCCCTCTTTCATGGCACTGCGCCTGTCCTGGAATGGGGAGACCGCCAGCATGGTGGAACCAACTGAGAGCCTGGTGGGAAGCCAGGGAGCCTGGGTCCTGGTCTCAGTTCTGGCCTCAGGCCATACAATGAGGGTGTAAATGAAAGGTCTCTGGAGTCTTCCCAGCTCTGCCCTCTTGGACTCCATGATCTTGATCTTCTGCTCCCAGGGAGTCAGAGTCCTGGATTGATAGAAAAAGGACAGTGGTGAACTCACTCACCAAGCAGTGGGCACAGTGAAGACCCTAATGCAGCCCCCATCCAGCAAGGCCAAGTGTCATCCCCGGAACGAATAGTATTTGGTCAAACATAAAAGAAGAGCCACCATTTCCCAGATTTGCATGGACCTTAGGTGATGTTTGCAAAGTGCTCAGGTTCCTGGGGGTATGCAGGACAGATGGTGGGTACCAGGACCAATGGACCCCTCAGTACACAGTTGCTCCCAGACTTCCTTGAAGCTGAGACTTCACAAACTAGCGTGTGACCATCCCAATGAAGAGGGAGGAATGATGGTTCCCACATCAGAGGGCTTCAAATGGCTCCTCCTCCAAGAGTTTCTCTAGATCCCCCACCCCTACCAGCCCCCTTCTAGACCAGTGCCCTGCAGGCCACACCAACAACCCCAGCTAGTTCTTACCCATTCCCCTGGCCAGTTAGCACACATTGGGAGCAAGGAGATCATTCCAACTCTATCCCAGCATAGAAATCACAAGACCCCTAAAGGGTGACCAGTTTCAGAACCTGATTCTCAGGCCCCTCTCCCAACTCTCACTTTCAAGAAAGCATGTGGTGATGCCTGTTCCCTGGGGGAGGAATCACTGCTGTGGTCTCCTCTCAGGAGAAGCATGTCGTGGGCAAGCCCTCAGCCACCAGACCCAGTGAGCTGAGCTAGGTGAGAAAGACAACCTGGAGTTATAGACCAAAGAGCTGCAGCAAGGTAAGGGCTGCTGCACACCAGCTCTGAGAATGTAGGCACGCAACTTCACCTCGCTGAACCTCAGGTCTCTCCCCTATAAAATGGGTTCAATAGATCAACCTTAGGAACTTTTGTAATGGCTAAAGGTGATGGTGCCCCTAGCCTAAGGGGGTCCACAAATGATTCCTGCACTATCACCAGGTCAGGCCCAGCTGGGACTTTCAGGAGCCATCTGAGCATCGTGCACCACGCCCAGGAGGCTGGGGACTGGACCACCGCTTGGTCAGCTGGGTTATGGGGCTGTCACTTAGGTCGCTGAAGTCATTGTGGTCAAAGAGACCTTTCCCTGGGCTCCTGACTGAGACCACGCCTCTGGATGGGAGCTCCTTATGCCGCCCCTGCCCCGCTCTGCTGCTGGCTCTGGCCTTGATTTCCCAAAGAAGATTCAGGACAGTCCTCCTCCAGCATAGGATCACACACATGCCTGCACGCCCACTTGCACACACAGGCCTCCTCCAACAAAGAATGACACACACACACATGCCTGCAGGCCTACACACACATACACACACATACCTCCTCCAACATAAGATAACACACACACACATGCCTGCAGGCCCACATACATACACACACACCTCCTCCAACATAGGATCACACACACATGCCTGTACGCCCACAGACACACACACACCTCCTCCAACATAGGATCACACAACACACACACACACATGCCTGCACGCCCACATACACACAAACACACACACCTCCTCCTCCAACACAGTATCACACACACACACACATGCCTGCACACCCACAGACACACACACACCTCCTCCAAAATAGGATCACACAACATACACACACATGCCTGCATGCCCACACACACACAAACACACACACACACCTCCTCCTCCAACACAGGATCACACACATGCCTGCACGCCCACAGATACACACACACCTCCTCCAGCATAGGATCACACACACACACATGCCTGTATGCCCACATGCACACACAGGCCTTCTCCAACATAGGATCACACACACACATGCCTGCATGCCCACATGCACACACAGGCCTCATCCAGCATAGAATCACACATACACACATGTCTGCACACCCAAATGCACACACAGGCTTCCTCTAGCATAGGATCACACATATACACATTTCTGCATGCACACATGCACACACACACACCTCCTCCAACATAGGATCACACATACACACATGTCTGGCCACCCACATGCACACGCAGGCCTCCTCCAGCATAGGATCACACACAAATGCACACACACTTGTGGGTCCCCCCTCTTCCAGGATTGGCTCGCAGTGACACACACACGCACACACACAGAGCGAGGAGGGCCTGTGCTCTGAATCTGTCAGGAAGGACAGCCATCTCTGCATCAGATATGAGGATGAGCCTGCTCCCAGCATCTCATTCCTACCCAGAATAGCCTGCTGAGAAAAGAATGCTGCCATCTCTACCTGCTGTGCTGAGCACGCCACTGCCAGCAAGCCCTCAGCCCTCAGCCCTCACCTCCCTGCGTCCACACACATGAACACCACACATGCTACAGACCTTACACCCCACACACACATGCACTAAACCTGCATCCATGGTAACACAGAGCATACATACCAATGCACACCTGCACAGACCCACATGCTAACTACACAGCTAAAGAGACATGCATGTACACACTGCCTACCTACCCTCTAACCCACTTATCCCATGCATGTACCACACACCCCACAACTGCACCTGCTTACACCTGTTCTACACACTCACACTGTATGCGTCTCCACGAGCCCACACTTAGACACACAGACGTCACTCACCTACATGCAGATGCACCATGGAGTTGATTCTGACTCGCTGGAATCCTATATAGGGTTTCCACCACTGTACATCTTTAAAGGTGTGGACAGTCTCATTGTTTTCCTGCAGAGCAGCTGCTGGATTTGAACCACCTACCTTGCAGTTAGCAGCCCAGTGTCTGACCCATAGTGCCACCAGTGCTCCTTAGATGTAGATGTTGGTGGTGGTGGTGGTAAGTGACGTTGAGTCAGTTCCAGCTCATACCCACCCTGTATAGGATTTCCAAGGATCAGCTAGTGAGTTTGAACTGCCGACCTTGTGGCTCGCAGTCCAGTGCTGATTCTACAGCGCCACACCAGGAATAGACAGCCACCTACCACACCCACAGCTTCTCTATAAATTCTAACCCATGCACACAGCACCCTTAGCATAGCCTCAGCACATACCCTACTAACACACACACACACTTACCAACCCCCACCCTACCGCCAAATCTCCTTTGAAGGTGACACTGCTGAGAAGACCATGGTTTGGCAAAGGTACAAAAGTTGGTGGCCCAGCTCCAGGCACAGAGCCTCAGAGCCTGTGTCCACCATTCTGCCTCTGCAGCAAAGCCTGTTGAACGTTTGAGGGATTGAGACTTCTTGAAGAATCTAACCCTAGCTGTGACCTCTCTCACTCCAGATGCCCAAGGGCACATGCATTGTCTTTTGCATGCAATCTCAGAGGGTCTCAAAACACCTTCAGCCCTCCCATAGGTATCCCCCACCCCCGGAGACTAGTTCTCAAATTCTGGTGATCTTAAGAACCACCTGAGAAATCTCAAATTCTGATTTCCAGAACCCAACCCAAGGATTCTGGCTCTATAGGTGTAAGGTAGGTCCTAACTCAACAGCCATTCTTCAGAAACCCTATACAGAGTCACTACGAGTCAGAACCAACTCAACAGCACTTACCAACAACAAGAAGGCAGGTCCTGCATCTCCACTGATAACAGCTTACCAGGAAGAGGATCTGAAGTCCAGTCTAGAAAAACTTTGGCCCAAGTAATTGGTACACCCCAGAGTCAGAGCCATCTGCTCTAGAAAGAGCATTTACCTCTGACTGGGAGAGACAGGTTTCTCCTATGACTTAAGCCCAAGGGTGGGAGATGCCCTGGTGTGGCCTGAAGCCATACCATAATTGAGATGACAGGTCTCTGCTCATGGACACCTGACACAGGTGTTTGGAACTAGACTGTGCCCTGGGCCAGAGCATGGCCACATTCTCTTCTTGTCTCTCGGCTACCAACCTGGAGCATGACCCAAGCAGGAGCCAGTCAATGTTCTTTGTAAAACTGAGCATGCCTAGTGGCTGCAGGTCCTGAGGTCTTTCTTTCCTGAGCCCGTCTCCCCCACCCCCCGAGTATGCATTCAGATTAGTGGGTGCTGGGAACCCTTGTGAAGTGAGGGAGGGACTTGTCTTTGGATGCAGAGTCGGGTTCCGTGGAAGTGGGAATCATCTAGAAGGTCTGCTTTTCCCTCATGATGTGAGCGCCCTTCCTGGAAGCTATGTGAGTAAAACCAAGCCTTTGGTCTTTCTGTCTCTCTCCAGGTGATATTGGTGGTCAGATGGGATTGTTTATTGGTGCTAGTATCCTTACAATACTAGAACTCTTTGATTATATTTATGAGGTAAGATTTGGGATCTCTCATGGTATGTGTCCTTGGCCAGCCCAGTTTCAAAACAAAGGTGGAGGGAGACTGTTTCCCTCTCCACCCAGAACCACCTCCTCCTCCCTGCCCACCTACAGCATTCATATCGAGCAACCGACCACTGCATCTCAGCCCCAGGGATGGAGGGACACAGATAGGATAAACGAAGCCATAGTCTATCCTTAGAGGGCTTGAAGAGCTGGGGGCTGCCTACACTGGGGGAGGAAGGGAAGGGGAAGGGAAGAAAGGGAGGAGATGGTACTCTGAGCCCCTCCCATCCTAGGCCAATGGAGCAGCTTCATACATACATATATGGTGAGTCCAGATCTACACACACACCACATGCACCCCCACATACTCATACATACAGCACATGCACACACATACCACATAGTATGCATACACACATCACGTGCACATCTACACACCACATACACATAAACACACACAGCACACATGTATACATACACACCACGTATACATACTCCCACACACCTGCTCTCGGGGAGGCCCTTCGCTGAAGCCATGCTTTCTGAGGCCTAGCCAGGCTTAGGGAAGGGGCATGTCCCAACAATCCTCACCTGTCCTGAGGGAGAAGCCCACAGGGGCACAGGGGCCTCTGAAAGCTGCAGCCTGAGTCACATCTCCCGAAAGATGCAGTTTCTCAAACATCAGGCAGGCCTTCTGGCATTGAGAGTTCCTCCTGCTGGTCAGATAGCCAACTGCATCTCCCCCAGACCCTAACTGAGAGGGAGTGAGCTCCCAGACCCCTCTGTGTCCAGGAGCCAGGCTAGGCAAAGTCCATCGCCCAAGGAACAGGGTGGAGCTACTCCTGGAAACACAAACCCATGGGTCGTCCATCCCAGGCTCTGTCGTGAGCTCTGTGCTTGCTTTAGGACCTCCATCCCCCTGGCTGAGTTGGGCAATGGACTGTACTCCCCTTTGTGTCTCCCTGAAACAAGCAGTGGCTCAGAATTCCTAAGCCTCCCCTGAGACCCTATGAAGTCTCCCAGCCCACCTGACTTTCGGCCTGTGGAACAGTGTTCTACCTCCCAGAAAGGGCTGTTCATGGCTAAAACCCACTGGGAATCACTATAGGGGCTGTAGGGTCTCTGTGACCAAGGTCCTCAAACCCAAATTAGGTCCCATGTCCAGACTACATTCCACTTTGTGTTATTAATGTTTGTGAAAAGCCGTACAAAGTTACGGAAATTGAATCACACCAGGTAGTATATTCAATATCTCTGCTTGATTGCTAAGAATAAAATGTTATGAACTCACATGTGGCCTGAACTTGTGAACTGTGGAGTTGCCAGGTCTAGAGAGTAAGTAGCAATCTGGTCCCCCAATGCCAGCCTAAGAAAGGGGGTCCCTGGCTGCTCCTGAGAACAGAGCCAGTCTGCGAGCACTCACCATACTCCCAGGGTTTCTGAGAATCAGGGTTTGTCCCCTATTCTCTTCCAAGGCTACCACCTGCAACAATTTCCATTTTGGCTAAAAGTTTGGGCTGACGGGCTTGTGGAACTGTCTGCTAGTCTGGGCTGCTGGCAGTTTGTCCTGCTCACCTTCTGCCAAGCTGAGTGCAGCCACGCCCCTCTACCTTTGCTTCATTCTCACTGCCTGCCCAACCCTTCCCACCTTCCTTACAGCTGATCAAAGAGAAGCTACTCGATCTGCTTGGCAAAGAAGAGGACGAAGGAAGCCACGATGAGAACGTGGTGAGAGTGGTTCATGCTGGGCTGCTTTGTTGGGTGGTTTGCTCCTCAAGGGTGGACAAGTGAAACCAGATACTGGGCCCAGGAATGAAAGGATGAGTCTTGAGACATACAGGCTCATAACTCACAATATCCTGTGAGCGCTCAAGTCCCAGAATATTTCAGCTGATCCTGGGGCCTCTCTCTGAGGCTCATTCTAAAGCAGTTGAGGAAAGCATGGATGCAGCTGACACCAAGTTGATGCTTCCAAGGGTAGGTCCTGCCTGGCCCATGCCCGAGGCAACTCCTCTCATCTTATGGCTTTGGGAGAACCAGAAAGGCTTCATCCACCCCAGGGGTTGCAAAGTATTGTGAGAGGGGTGTTACTGGTACTCCACGCCATTGAAGAGGACATGGGGTGTTGGGTCCTAGGGAATTGGTAGTAGCAATAATACCCATACTAGCAAACCAAACTAGGTACTGTGGAGTCAGCTTCAATCATGGCAACTCTGTGTGTGTCAGAATAGAATGGGTTCCTTAAGGTTTGCAGAGGCTGATTTGTCAGAGCTAGATTGCCAGGCCATTCTTCCAAGCCACCTCGGAGTGGACGCAAACCACGAACTCAAGCCTCCAAGTTATCAGTCAAACTCCTTAACCATTTGTACCATCCAGGGCCGCTAATACCCACAGTAACTGCCATCTATGGCATGCCTAACAACATTGCCTACATGTTTCCACATACCAGCTCATTTCAGCAGTGGCTGTCCTCGAGGAAGGTCTGTTAGTGTGCCCATTTTGTCCTCGAGGCAGCTGAGACCCACAAGCCACGGTCACCCAGCTGGACTTGCAGTGCCCCTAACCACTGCCCCAAACTGCCTCTCTTTCCTGTAACCAGAGAGGCCAGGTCTTTTCAAAATCAGTCCACTTCCAGGCTCAGGGATAATGTCAAGTCCCACTGGCTGCCCCCACCCATCAATGAGCCCTCTGGCCCTGCGTTAGCCCCTCCAATTGAATGGTCACTGCCTCTTTAAAATGAACAAATCCAAATGGTTATCAGCCCTGCCCCAAGAGGGCTCCCATTTGTTTGAGACTCTGTCTGTTGGCTCATCACCCAGGCAAAAAATCTTGGTTTGACTCTCTCAGCCCCTCTGCTGTCTGTTGGCCTGTCGGTACAGTATGGAAGGGGTCAGGCTCCAACTTAGCGGGCCCAACTTGACTCCCAGGCCCTCTGCTTCCTACCCATGTGCCTTGGGGGAAGTTCCTTACCTCCTTATGCACTGCCAAGAGTTTATTGTGTATGCCAAGTGTACACAGTCAATTGTACACAGTGCCCCAGTTAAAGTAAGTACTCCAATAATGGTGTCTCCCTCCACTAGCCACCTTCTTTCCTTCCTTTCAAGAGTCCCACAGTCATAGACTCCACTCCATCCGCCTGCCCCCAGCCCTGACCTCATCAAATCTCCCCCAAAGTCCTGGCCCAGCTCCTGCCCCCGCAGCCTGGAGAGTACCTTGCAGTTAGTTCATGACCCTAACAGCCCACCCTGCTCTGGGACCCACGGTGTTTCCCTGCGACCAGCCTGGTCCTATGTTTCCTTACAGAAGCTCTGACAAGCTCTGTCTGTGAGGGGTTTCCACATTCCTTGCTTGTCCTCAGCAATGGAATGCTCCCTGCCCCAGGCCTAACCATAGGTCCTACCTGCCCCATCCCACACAGACCCCAAGGAGGTCCCCAAGGCAGGGGGGGGGAGGGTACCTGGGTGGCCGTGAGACTACTCCAGCACCCCACCCCACAGTGCAAAGATGACTGTGGTAGTAAGTAGGAGCATCATCATGGCTCCAGAGAGCCCAGCAGCGGGGAGCCCAACGCCGCACAGGGTCTGGGCTGGGTTGCTGCTGGCCTCTCCACAAATGTTGCTGAATGAATGAATGAAAAACACCCATCTTCCTTCTCCCTCCAGAGCACCTGTGACACCATGCCAAACCACTCTGAAACCATCAGCCACACTGTGAATGTGCCCCTGCAGACGGCCCTGGGGACCTTGGAGGAGATAGCCTGCTGACAGTCCCCGCAAACAGACCTTGAGACCCAAGACCCAGGACAGAGGGGCAGCAAGCTCAGCTGGGATGGCCCCTGATGACAGAAAGAAATAAGAGCCCCCTATGCACACATAGCAAACTGTCTGCCAAAACCTCGCTAGAGCCACGCCCGAATGATGGTCCTCGGGCTGCCGCGACCTTCCTAGGAGAGAAAAGTCACGCTCTGGAACTATCCAAGAACCAACCTGCCATTACATCTCACTGCCAGATGTATAAAGCACTTGCATGTTCAGACTTCTTACGGCACCACCTCCACGTCTGTCTCTGTACATGGCAGTTCTCCACATGGTTTCCAGCTCTCGCTCTGTGATCCATACAGCGGGCAGGACCCATTCCAGCCCCGAAGTCACCCTCAGACCCAGCTGGACTCAAAACTGCACAAGCAAGAAGGAAACCGCAGAACTCTCTAGTATGTTCCGTCCCTGTGTAATCCGTGAAGGTTCTGAAACAGGAGGGCATGGTCTGGCCATGGCCCTGCCCACCAACCCTCTTCGCCCATCTGGTCCACGGAGCTTCGGCACCAAAAGTGGCCAGGGCCACCCCGCCCACCCCCAGCTCCCGTGATGGCGGCGCACGGCCTGGGTGACTCCCACTTCCATCCACGGCTCCCATGTCGTTCTTCTCGCCCCGTGAACAGCCTGTGAAGTCTAATTCTTTTTATCTGGGGGGCTTCTTCTGTTTGTCTGTTGGAGGTTTCATTTTATTTTATGAGTTTGGGTTTTGATGTTCTGAGCTTTTCATTTTGTTTCTCCATTTTTAATTTTTTTTTTGTTTTTTTTTGCGTTTATTTATTCGTGCTTCAAATCACGGTCATATTAAAAGCTGGTCTTGTGGAAATGGTTGAGTCATTTCTGCCTTTTCCCCAAACCTAGATCTCTCTGACTGATGGATTAGGAAGAGACTAAAATTATAGACCAGATAAACAAACACTTGCAATTAATTCCAGAGTAGAATTGTACTGCATCCTTACTGATTTTTCAGAGCTAGATCATCAGTCCTGTCTTTTGAGCAGCTACTCTTGGTGGACTCAACCTTCCAAGCTTTTGGTTGACAATTGAACGTGTTAAACCATTTCAATTATCCAAGAACTATAAATAGTTAGGAGCTTTGGTAACATAGTGGTTACAAGTCAGGGTGCTAACCCCAAGGTCGGCGGTTTGAAACTACCAGCTGTTCTGCAGGAGAAAGATGAAGCTTTCTGCTCTCGTAAAGATTTACAGCCTCGGAAACCCTGTACAGGGTCACTGTGAGTCAGAATTGACTCCACAGCACATCACCACCACCACCACCATAGATAGAGAGATGGATGGATGGATGGATGGGAATATAAATATACAGAAGAATATACAGAAGGCTTCAAAAATTTCATGGAAAATAATGGAATTCAAAGATGATGGAATTTTTCCATGATCATTTCAACGTCTCCTTGTATATGAGATAAAAGTTTTATGAAGCGATAAGTTATCTTGGCATAAGGTACACACTCTGTGGGAGTCCTGGTGTGGCTCTGCATGTTAATGCACTGGACTGCAAAGTCAGTTTGAACCACGAGGTTGGTAGTTCAAGCTCACCAGCCACTCCTTGGAAACCCTGCACAGAGTCACTATGGGTCATAACTGACTCGATGGCACTTAACAACAACAACACACTCAATATTTTCTTTTATTCTATATTTTTAAAAACACAACTCTACACCCACTAATGGCTCACATTCCTTGCTTTGTTTGAATGATGCTGCACTAGACAATAGATAGTTATGGGGCAGGAAGACACTACCCAGTCCTGAAAGCTGTCAATGAGGTTTCACATCTCTGCTCTTCCATCTTCTTTCCTGACTCCTCCTGACCCTGACCCTTCCCAGAACCCAAGCCTCTCCTCATCCCACCTCCTCACCCCATCCAACAGCCCTGTCTTCTCCCACCAGGGGTTGCATTTGTATTCAGCCCCCACCCTGACTCTTGGAAGAAGGGCCAGGAAAGGAAGTTAGAAGGTGCAGGTGCAGGGACTATGCCTTTCAAGCCTCCCTGTAGCAAGAGAGAACATCCTATCCAGGCAGAACCCTTGTACTCCTGGGACGCTGCTAATTCCATGGGGACAGATCTGTCAGCCTAACTGTTTAGTACTTCCTTCTGCTTCCCCCACTCTCCAGTCAAAATCCCCCAAAGCAGCCAAGAAATGCCAGTGTGGCTGTGCCTCTCTGTCATGCACAGAAAGCACTGGCTAGACCAGGGGTTCAGGGCTCTGGTCCCTGCTCTGCATCCCCTTCCCTCAACATATGTGAGATGGATGTGGAAGGTCATGGAATGGATACCAGGCAGGAGGCCTTCAGCAAGACACAGGTGAGTAGGAAGGTGACCACTGAGTCAGGGCCCAGTGTCTGTGGTAAGTCATCTGTTTACAGCACATTCTCCCCTCCTCCAACTTCCCTGGTTTGGGATGCATAAGGTGACTGTATAAGAAGAGTGTGCTTTCTGCTGAAGACAAGCAGGAGGTGTTCAAGTCTTCTGTTCTGCACCAGAGTCAGGAGACTAAGCCATATCCCAGGAGACGGATTATGCTCTGCCTAGGCATTTTCAATGAGCCAGGGCACTGCCAACTGTACTCCTTGTTGTTGTTGCCATCAAGTCGGTTCTGACTCATAGCGACCCTGTATAGGGTTTCCAAGGACTGGCTGGTGAATTTGAACTGCCAACCTTGTGGTTGAAACTGACCTTGTTGTCCAGTGCTCTATCCCCACAGCACCATACCAGAACTCCATGGAGAATGGGAAATCCCAGTAACTCCAACTGGCAACTTCTGGGTTAACAAGTACAGTCACAGGAAGTACCCACAGGGATGTTTCCTGTTCAGAGTCAAGTGTGTAAAGGCTACACTGCTCCTGGCCGCTGAGCCTTGTGGGTCTCTGACCCTTCCTTCCCAGTACAATGGCCCCCCCTACAGCCTAGAACTTTTTGTAAAATAATAATAATTAAAAGATGAGTCCCACAGAGCATTTTGTCAGGTGTGTGGTCCCAGGAGCCACAACAGCTGGCTGCAGGTAGAAAATGGCCCATCGTGTAGAGGGAGTTGGGCTCTGCCAAGCTGTTTCCCAGCTTTTCCCAAAACAAATGGTGTAAATGTTAGAAAGTCCACACAGGTTCCGAGGCCCCAGGGATGACAGAAATGGAGTCATAGGATGAAATCCCTTTACAGGTGAACAAACTGAGTCTCAACAACATGGAAAGACACCAGAGTTGTGGCAAGTCTCAGTGGACGTGGGCCCAGGAGAGCTAGTCCCAAATCATAGGCCACCAGGGCCACCCAGGTCATATGCAATTATATGACTGCCCCCACCAGCAGCTTGGCATCATTCCAACGCCAACACATGCTATGAAATGGATACGCACATAAATGAAGACCAGATACTTCCAACAGTTTGCTCACTTAATTCTCACAATGATTTTGTTAAGTAGCTTTCATTATCCCCATTTTGCAGATGAACAAACTGAGCCTCAATAAAACCAAAATCGCTTGCCCTAGCTCAGGCAGCTGGTGATCGACAGAGCTGGGATTTGAACTCATGTTTTGTCTGAACGTATGTCTGATAGATTTCATTCCTGTGGTGACAAACTGGTTTGGGGCACAGGATGATTCTGTCCCTTACTTGAGAACATCAGACCCCAAGATTCAAAGTCACAGCTCCTGGATACTATTTAGCAACTCAATGGTGTACCTGTGTGGAACCCTGCCAGGTGTAGCCTGTCAGAGCTCACCTGTTCAAACCACTCACACAAGAGAAACTGCAAACAGCCCCAGACCAGGAGGCCTGAGCCTGGCCCCACAACCTTCTCTCGGGAGCTGCTTACCAATGGAGTATGACTATGTACCTCTCTGAGCCTTATTTCCTCGAATTTTAGGATGAAGATACCAGCTTACTGCGCAAAGCCAAGGTACAGAACCAGGTGATGTACCGGGGCCCCTTCAGACTCCAAGTCTGCGGCAATACCACTTCCCCTGCCCAGTGAGACAAATTGTTCCAGGCACATGGGTTCACAAGCAGTGACCAGGAGCTGGTAGTAATGGGGCTCCGGAAGACACCTGGGACAGAAGGTCCCCACGATGCTTCCTCCCTTCCTGGGCTCCCTCCTCCCCAGCACTCTCCCCGCTGAGGTTGCCTAAAGCCCAGTTTTAATTCCTAGAACCAGAGTACCAAGTTGCTGGGAAGGACTCTGCCTTCATTTTCCACCCGTGCTCTTACAAATCATCACAAGTTTAATGGCTTAAAACAACACAGACTTGTTAACAGACAGCTCTGCTGGTCTCACTAGCTAACATCCAGGAGTTGGTGGTGCTATATTCCTTCTGGAAGCTCTAGGGGAGAAGTTGTCTCCTTGCCTTTTCCTGCTTTTGGAGGACACCCGCATTCCTTGACTTGAGGTCCCCTTACTGCATCTTCAAAGTCAGCAACGGCAGGTAGAGTTCTTACATTGTAACACTCTGACCTTCCTCATAGTCATACCTACCTGACTCGTCTTCCTCTTCTAAAGACCCGGTGAATAGATTGGGGCCACTCAACAATCCAGGATAATCTCCCCAACTCCTACTAAATTATCTTAAACTTCCTTTAAATTGTTAATGTAACCATGTCTGCAGAATCCCCTTTAAAGAACACTCGTAAGTTCCAGGAATTAGAAGATGGGCGTCTTTGTTGTTAGGGGCCATTGAATCGATTCTGACTTTAAGCAATTTCATGTAAGAATAGAACTGTCCCCTTAAGAGTTTTCGAGGCTGTCACCTTTTTTTGTGTGGTGGGTAGTGGGGGAGTGTCAAAATTTGAGCCTTAACTTTCCTCAGGTGATTCTTTGCCTGTTGTGTTGAATGGAAAAAGTACGAAGGTGAGTCAAAAATGATCCACACTCTGGCTGTAGAATTCATTTTAATCAACTTTTAGAAAAGGCAAATATGTCATTATTTGACATAATCTCCTTGCTTTTCAATACACCGTCCGTCTGTCAATAAGCTTTCTTATTCCCTTATTAAAAGATGATTTTAGGCTGAGCTGCGAGCCACAAATGTACTGCTGTCTTCACTTCTTCATCAGAGGTGAATATTCATCCTCAATGGGCTGCTTTCGGGGGACCAAACAGGTGAAAGTCTCACGGAGCAAGACCAGGACTATAGGGAGGATGCTTTAACACCTCAAAACGAAGTTTTTGAGGAGTGTCAACAGTGTGGGCAGAGGTGTGTGGATGTGCATTGTCGAGCAAGAGGACAACACTCTTGGACAGCGGTCCTCTGGGTTTAATCTGAAGTTTAGGCTTCAGCTCTTCAGTGAGCATCTCACTGTAATGAGCACTGTTGATAGTTGAAGCTTTTTCTGATAGTGTCCCAATACTGGCCCTTGAGAATCCCAGAAAACTGTAAGCATCCATTTTCCAGCTAATGGTTGACTTTTGGATTTTTCCTTC